GTTGGTCTGGCAGGACCTGCCTTTGATGAACCCATGCTGATTGCCCCTGAGCCTGACCTCCCCTGCCGGCCCCCACAGATGTGCTCCTGGATGATCCTCTCCAAGATCTTCCTGAGCACAGAGGTGAGGCTTATGGGCCTATAGTTACTTGGGTCCTCTTTCCTCCCTTTCTTAAAAATGGGGACCACATTAGCTAGTTTCCAATGCCCCAGCACCTGGCCAGATGACTACAAATGCTCATACAGCCGGGCCAAGGGCTCCCCTCAACACCCTTGGGCGGACGGCATCTGGACCTGCAGATTTAAAAAGTCTAGCCCTTCCAGAAGATCCCTAACTACCTCTGTGCTGACCCAGGACCTGTCAGAGCTATCCCTGAGATTGTCCCTGCCTCTTGACTAAGCTCATGCATTTGATTGATCATACACGTGAGCATGGAGGATTCTCTGGAGCCAGGAGAAGCATCAAGGAGCGTGCTAGCAGCTAGACGGGTAATGGAAGAGAGATGGGACAAGCAGCAGAGTGTGGGATGGACAGCTGAAGGCAGCTGAGCCAGGTTCCCATCAAATGCTGGTATCATCTCAAGAATCCTTTCAGGCAGCTCATCCCTGACGAAGCCAGCCCAGACAAATGTCTGTCCAACATAGTCTTTCAAACGTCCAAGGATGGAGATTTCACAGTTCCTCTAGGCAGCCTGTTCCAATGCTTGACCACCCTCACAGTCGGAAAGTTCCTCCTCCTCTCCAACCTAAATTTCCTCTGCTGCAGCTTCTCCTAGACCTCTCCCCTAAAGTCACAGAGAAAAGCCTTTTTCTATCTTCTCTACAATCACCCTTCAGGTTTTTTGAAAGCTGCAATCAAATCTCCCCATAGTCTTCTCTTCTCCAGACTAAACGACCCTAGTTCTTTCAGTCTTGCCTCATAAGTCTAGCGTCCCAGGCCCCTCGTAATTTTTGTTGCTGTGTGCTGGACTCTATCCAAACTGTCCACATCCTTCCTGAAGTGTGGGCCCCAAAACTAGACCCAGTTCTCCAGGTGAGGCCTCACCAGTGCTGGTTGAGTTATAGACCATTTTTCGAGTCTGTCCAGGCCATTCTGGATCCTAGCTCTACTCTCTGGAGTGTCTGCAACTCCACTCAATTTGGTGTCCTCCATAAGGCATTGGTCTTCTCTGCATCATCCACAACTAGATTGCCTTCTCCGTTCCATAAGAGGTGTAAGGTTTCTCTGACCCGCCTCTTACTTTTGACATGCCTGTAGAATCCTTTTGTATTGCCTTGTATGTCCCTTGCCAGCTGCATCTCAAATTGTGCCTTGGCCTTCCTAATTTTCTCCCTGTGTGTCCATGTAATGCTCTTATACTCTTCACTAGTACCATGACCAAGTTTCTACTTTTTACAGGATTCCTTTTTGAGTTTCAATTCACTGAAGAGATTGATGTCTAACTAGGCTGGTCTCCTGTTACACGTCCTTGTTCTTTCATCACATTGGTATAGCTTGCTCTTGTACCCTTAAACAGATTTCCTTAAAGTACAGCCAGCTCTCCTGGGCTCCTTTTTGCCTCTGACTTTCCTCCTGGGGTTCCTGCCCCCCAGCTCCCTGAGCCTGCTAACGTCTGATTTTTCTGAAGTCCAGTGTCCTTATCCTGGTGCTCACCTTGCTTCCTCCCTTTAGGAGCTTGAACTCCATCATTTCATGGTCACTGTCACTCAAGTTGCTTTCCACCTGCACATTCTTGATCAATCCCTCCCTGTTTGTCAGCAGTAAGTCAAGAAGCGCTGCCCCCCTAGTTGGCATTTCTACCTGTGCCAAAAAGTTATCCCTAACACGCTTCAAGAATTTGCTGGACTGCTTGTGCACTGCTGCGTTTCCATTCCAGCAGATGTCCTGATAATTAAAGGTGACATAAGAAATCTAGTAGACTAGAGAAGTACAACTTTCCTTTATAGGCAGACAAGGTTCTTTGGGTAAACCTGATTTCTTTTATTAGACCAACTCAAATAGTTGGAAAAACTTACGCTAATTTGTCTCTAATGAGTAATTAGCCCAGGTAACCAGGTAAGTAAGTGTTTTATAATTCTGTCTTTAGCATGTCAATCAAAAACACTATTTCCTGAAGCGAGACTCATTGGTCTGTAAGTTCCAGCATCGCTGCGTTCTTAAAAACAAAGTCTTAAGGCAGAATAGCACAATAATCTGCTGACAGACTTTAGGTATTTTTAACAGTGTAGGTGTGGGAGTCCTAAAAGTCTTCAAAGCTTATAGGTTATTTCTGTTTTAAAGCAAGGTTTGTAGACCTCTAAACATATACCATTTGCAGTTTGATTGGCAGACTTAACTTTTTAACTTTTAATTTTCATGGCTGACATAAGTAATGAAAAATATACTTGGACATTCGGGGTCTTTGAAAAGGTTTGATTTGGGGGGAGTACAGTTTTAGAAATGGGCAAAAGTTTTGTCTCCCCAGATAGGTTTGCACAGTGCCAACTAAAGCCACTACAAAGGAAAACAATTTCCTACTGATATCTAGAAAGCGTGTGACAAATGCTTCCTCTTGGCACGTGCTATTTTTTCATTACAAAATCCCATCAGCTCTGCACTTTTTCAGGCTACTTGAATACTTCAACAAAGCAGGTGAACCATGTACATTTACCTAAAATGCAAATCTGGTTTTCCATCATTCAAACAAGCCGCAAAGGTTTGCATAATCAAATGAAGCAGAGATTTGAAGGCCATCAAAATGTTGCCTTTTCTTTCAAATCCTCCTGTCGCTTTTCAATTAAATCCAAGCCCTTTTTTCTTGTAGTTTTAGGGATGTAGGGTAGGGAGGACATGTGGAAGGATATGAAATATGTTTGCACAATAAAGAGAGACCAAAAACAGAGTAAATTTAAGCTGGATAAGATAACAGAGAAGAAAGTTGAATAAAGCTGACTGTCAGGAGTGATATGCACACCCAGGAAAGATATGTGCTGCAACTTAGGTTCCCCCCCCCCCCCCTTTTTTTTTTTTTTTTTTAAACCAGAAGATATATCAGCTAAAGACTGTTCAGAAATGTGAGGAATGCTACACTAATAACCCTACCTGAATGTAATCTGACACAAAGATTAAACAAATGGTAACATCAGCCCAACCTGGAATTGTGAAGAGTGCCACATGTTTTAACTCGTATTAGTAGCTGCCTTTCGCCTTAACATATTTTCATCTCATCTGTGCTAGTGCTCTTCAGGCTTTGAGCTCCCTTACAGTAGTATCTGCAGGCCATCCCATTACCAGGGGAGGAAGTCAGGGCTGTCATCATCTCCCCCAGCTAATGTATCTTTGCCAAAATAGTGTGTAACCCGTCTCTTTGATTGCTTTTTCTGGTTTTGGGGTAATTTGCAGTTTAGGTCATTGTCAAGTTCCTTGA